CAGCACAAAGGATGTCTGACTGATGGCTGAAGACATCCCCCAAGGGCTCCTGGACTGCGAGAGGCGCAGGCTGGGCTGAGGGTCCCTCGCCCCCCGAGTGCACGAATTTCGTGCACTGGGCCTCTAGTATTTAATAAACATCTCATTATATTATCATTATAGTAGATATCACCTTAGTAATAGATGAAGAAACATACTAATAAAATCAGTTGTGTGAAGTCATGCAGCCATGATTTGAACTTCACGTTAAAGCACTAAACTGATATTGAGCTACCCTGAAATCAGGATAGGTAAGCCTTCATAAATCTATCCTTTAATTGGTGTTTGTAAGGCAGTACTGCATGGTGGATAAGAAAAAGGGCTCTGGAGCCAGATTGCAATGTTTGTATTCAGATTCTAGTAATTACTGTGATATGGGGCAGGTTTCCTAACCTCTTTGTGCCCCTGTTTTCTCATCTGTAAAATGGGAATTTGTTGGTTCATAGAATTATTGCAAAGATGAAATGTATCAATACAAGTAAAACATTTAGCACACCTGGCACAAAGCAAGCATTTAATAAATGTTAATCTCTATTTACTGTTATTTTTTATAGGATTGTGCCCAGAACCCAGAAAAGTCCCCTATGACTACATTATAAAGGGAAAGAAAAAACTTGAGGCAACTTGGCATTATACCAGTGATGGCGAACCCATGACACGCGTGTCAGAGGTGACACGTGAACTCATTTTTTTTGGTTGATTTTTCTTTGTTAAATGGCATTTAAATATATAAAATAAATATCAAAAATATAAATCTTTGTTTTACTATGGTTGCAAATATCAAAAAATTTCTATATGTGACATGGCACCAGAGTTAAGTTAGGGTTTTTCAAAATGCTGACTCGCCGAGCTCAAAAGGTTCGCCATCACTGCATTATACAGTCTAGGTTAATTTACTTAACAACTAAGAGTTTTTTAGGAAACTGTAGGCTAAAGTGCCTTTCACCCAAACTTTCAGTAAGAAATGCAAAGGGCCCTAGCCGGTTTGGCTCAGTGGTTAAGAGTGTCGCCCCACGGGCTGAAAGGTTCTGGTCAAGGGGACAGGCATGTACCTCAGTTGCAGGCTCGAACCCCAGCTGCAAGTCAGGGCACATGTGGGAGGCAACCAGTCAAATGTGTCTTTCTCACATAGATGTTTCTCTCTGTCTCTCCCCCTCCCTTCCACTCTATCTAAAAATCAATGGAAAAAATATTCTTGGATGAGGATTAACAAAAAGAAATGCAAAAAGGTTAAAAATGAGGCAGTTTAGAGGTGGTACAGGTTTCCTGTGCTATCTGAAAGCTGAGTGTTTCTATGAAACCTTTCCTAAGCAGAAATGGGGTAAAGAAAATAAGCCATTACCATTTATGTGGAAAAAATTTTAAGCATTCCCAGACCCAAAAATAACATATAAAACCTAAAATAACATGAACATATAATGAAAGCAGTGCCACTCATGCTGCTCAGGGTGCATGCTGCCTCTATAATGGCTCCCTGCAAAATAGCTGCTGAATGCTATTTTCACCATCCTATATAATAAAAGGCTAATAAGCAAATCGACCGAACGGCGGAACAACCAGTTGCTATGGTGCGCACTAACCACCAGGGGGCAGATGCTCAACGCAGTCCCACAGGGGGAGCACTGCTCAGCCAGAAGTCAGGGCTCACAGCTGGCAAGTGCAGCGGCAGTGGCGGGAGACTCTCCTGCCTTTGTAGCAGCACTAAGGATGTCCGACAGTTTAGGCCCGCTCCCCACGGAGCCGTCAGTCAGACATCCCCCGAGGGCTCCCAGACTGCAAGAGGGTGCAGGCCAGGCTGAGGGATGCCCCCGAGCACACAAATTTTGTGCACTGGGCCTCTAGTTTCTCATAAAAGGACAATCCTCTTTGGATTTCTTCGTTAGTGAAAACAAGAACATATAATGTAAAACTTTTTGTTGAAGGGAAGTGGTATATTGTGAACTTTCTCTTCATTTACTTTTTCTTGGCCGGTCCAAGATGTTTTGATGAAATACCAAATAAATAATCACTCTGTGGCTACAAAAATGTACTCCAAGCTGCAAGTTCATAAGGAGCTTAAATCCTGACAGAAACAAGTCAATTTGTTGATTTTTTAAAAAATTCTATACGTACTGATTGGTGCAACCCTACAGAACCAACACCTGTTTAGAAAAATTTGTTTTTCTTTTCAAAAGTAACTAAAAAGCCTCTCTGATTTATTTATATATTAATTTAATTTTTGAAATCAATAGTCATAAGGTCAGCTTTGTCCTATTTAACTATCAATGTTACACATTTATAAACTAAGCAAATATGGATAGTACAGAGATTTTAATGAAATCTAAAAGAATAAAATTGATTTTAGCCCATTGTATTTTCAAAGTTGATGAGCATCAAGCCAGAAGAAAAGTAATGACCACACACCATTTATTTCTTTTAATAGTAAAAAGAATGTTCTGATTATTAGCAAAGTAATCTTATAATGTATCTTCACAGTTGAAATTTAAGTATTCACTTGATACACTTGTATATCAAAGTCCTTTTCCACTATTTAGTCTATTTTAAAAATATATACAGCTAATGATGTTTAAATATTCTGAACCATGTGTTCAAATATAAATATTTGAGAAATTCAAACTGTTGCATCAAGTTATGAAAGAATTAAAGAAGAAAAATGAGCTACAAATTATATAGGAGGAAGAAAAAAGTTTACTTAACACTTATGTCTGGCTAAAATCTGTACTCTTTCATTTATATATACATACTCAGTTGAGTATAGGTAGCCATCAAACATTAACCAGTTACATACAGATTAGACTAAGCCTGTACTATTTTCTACGACAGGCAGCAGTGGTGATTTCAAACATATTAATATATCTAAATAGTTTCATCAAAAGTTATTTGTAGCAATAGTCTAATATTATGAAATTCTGATAGGCACAGATGAAATCACTACATTATCTATGCCAAACTCAGCACACTAATGGTACCTGACTCTGCTTATGGTCTAAGTATCTGAACAAAACAGAGCAGACAGGTAACCAGAAAGGACATTTAAGACACACCCATGCTTATGAATCACATTAACATTAGTGTTTAAAATTTCCAAATCTAAATATAGAGGGACACTTATAAAGCTGTGGGACAACTCCCACATAAGAATCCAAGTGATAAAACTGCAAAATCTTAAACTTCAGTTTTTAATCTGATATTAAGGATTAGCTTATTTGGTCTTAAAAAATTTTAGAATTAAAGGGTTAAAGTCGAAAACATGTTTATCCCTTGCTACATTGCAGCATTTGAAATTAGCCAGCATGACAACTTTAATTCCTTTTTGCTCTTACATGCAGTAATATACGTATATACGCATTTTAAGACAGCTTAAAGTTGAGTTAACTTTTAGTCAGTAGTGGTGACTAGAATTGCTATCCAATCAGTATTCCATGGCACCACATATCAAAGTCTGTACAATATGAGTCTTTTTCAGCACTTATCACTTTGGGTGGGGAAGGGAGGCATGGCAAAAAGTAGTTGCATATATTTTTTTTTATAGCAGAAAAGCTTTAAACACTTACACAATTTTACAATATCTTGTATTCTATCTTAGAACAAAATCTTATTCCAGTCAGCTCAATCTATGTTATAAAATACAAACACATTCTAAACCATACAGTGTACAGAATATGCACTATTTAATATTCATTAAATGCAGTACAATCAAATAAAAAACACACACAGCATTCTAAATTTTTAAATCTTTGGATGCTAACCAGAAATTATACAAATTACATATGCAAGACAAAAAAAAGAATAGAAAAGGAAAAGAGAAAGAAAAAAAAATCCAAAGAAACTAACTTCTCAGTGCATCACACCTATTGGGATTAAATGAATGGCACTTTTATGATACTAATATTACAATTATCAATTTAAGCTGGGAATGACTCAAAAACATTAAAGCCACATAATGGCAAGAACGAGCCAATTAACTGTTTAAATGAAACAGATCACCTTTTTTCTTTGTAAAAGCACCGAAAATGTAATGGGTGCAGATAACTCAATAAAATTTTTCGTATTTCATTTGCCCCTACACTATAAGACATTGCAGTACCTTAAATTATTCTCTATTTATTCTAACTGGTATGAAAATCTGATTTTTAAGGCCTGAAAACTCTATTATGCTACTGAAACATACTATTTTCTATGTGGTAAGAATGTCTTTATGAAAAAAATAATATATCTGGTTATAAGTCATAGAATAAACCCCAAAACCAAAAATCTGACATTTTCCAAGCTAGTGAAAAATAAGTTATACCATGATGTATCAATTAAAAATTATATCAATATTAACAAACATTTCTACGGTAGATATTTCCCCCATGAAAATTAAACAGTGCACAATAGGGCTTGGGCTATAGTGAGTCACATTTGGTTTTCTGAAAAACAAAACGTAATTTACTATAAACAATTAAAAGGCAATTTTCTTCCTCCATAACACATGTAGATATTAAATCGAAGGTCTTAAAAATATTCACTACCTATAAGAAAAGTAGTTTTTAAATGGCAAAAAGGAATCAAAATACCAAAGTTTAGTGTGCGAAGAATAGATATAAACAACCAAGAAAAGAGATCACTGGTGTATTGGTGTTGAATATTTAACACGAATAGCCCAAAATAAGTTCCAAAGTTTTTATACCTTTACAAATAAAAAAAGGTGTCCTTTCCATAGTTTGGGATATGCATTGTGTATTCCCCCAAACAAGTATATGAGTAATGTTTTTAAAATGTTGCCAATATTAAGTTCTTCAGTTACCTAAAATTAATTAGAGGACAGCAATATTACAGTGGCAATGGTGCATCAATTCCCAAAACGTAGTTATGATCCAACACGAGTTGTGGTGGTTCTTTTATCAGAGAAAAAGCTTTTCAGAAGAAATACCTGCCCTATGCTAACCACCAGAAGAATGAGGGCTTCTCCTACTGACCAATAGGCCACTCTTGTATTTAAATCCTCTGCTCGGCTTCGGCCTTGAGCTTCTCTCAAACGGAAATGAGTCTGATAGTCAATGACAGACTTCAGAGCTTCATGAATCGAAACACAGGCAGATTCCATCTAAAGAGAAATATTTCCAGTTAGTATGTTTAATATTTTCTGTACACTCCATCTTTCGTTTTTAATTTCTCATTTCATTAACATTCACACATTTATGTCCGAGGTCCTGGCAATGCAACCATTTACTCATTCCCACTAGTACAACTAGTAAAGTTACAGATCCCATAAAGCAGCTGTTTGCCTCAAACTAAAATGTCACAGCTGTGGCATCTGTAAGGATGGAACACTAAGCTAACAGCAGCAGAAGTACTAATCAGCTAAGGTTTGTGGCTATGAAATTTCAAACCCAGATTCCTCAAAAAGGAAAGCTTAGGAAGAAGAAATTGGGTAGATCAGCAAATACAACCAATCCTATATAATAAAAGGGTAATATGCAAATCGACCAAATGGCAGAAAGACCAGTTGCTATGATGCACACTGACAACCAGGGGGCAGACACTCAACACAGGAGCTGCTCCCAAGCCCGCAGGTCCCGGCGGGCAGGCTCCAATTGCCCATGGGGAACGGGGAACTGGGGGTGGGTGGCAACAGAGGTGGGCGCCACCAGGCCAAAGCCCCTGCCCTGCTGATCGCCCCACACACAGAGGGCGACCCGCGGGGGGGGGGACGGGACACACGGGATGGGGCTGGTGAGGGGGCAGAGGAATGACCAACCTCTCGGTCCCTCTCCCCAGCCTGCAGGCTCTGATTGCCCAATGGCGAACGGGGAACCAGGGGTGGGTGGCAGCAGATGCGGGCGGTGCCAGGCCAAGGACCCTGCCCCTCCGGTTGCCCCACACACAGAGGACGACTGATGTCAGGGGACTGGGATGGCGAGGGGGCTGGAACAGCCAAACCTCTCAGTTCCTCGCCCTGGCCAGCAGGCTCCGATTGATTGCCGATTGATGGCCCGATGGTGAATGGGGAACCAGGGGTGGGTGGTGGCAGGGGGCGGGGCCGGCTGCCTGCAACCGGGGAAGATGGCCTTGATTACAGGCCAGGCCTAGGGACCATACCCATGTACAAATTTCGTGTGTTGGGTCTCTAGTCAGAATATATACAAATATAAATCAAGTATGGCATAAAAATAGATTGTTAGTCAAACGTTATTTATCTATTTTAAAAATAGGTGAATCTGAACATTTTGTATTTCTTATAAACTAGAGTATCTTTTTTTTAAAAATAGTTACCAATTTGCTAAATAAGTTTTTCTCTCATACCAATCAAACCAATATATATATTCTCAATGGGATACAAGTTTCAGTTTCACTGTGTAATCAGTTTGTGAGCCTTCACTTTACTTTTTTTTTTTTTTAAAGAACAGTTTGCCCTAGCTGGTTTGGCTCAGTGGATAGAGCGCCGATCTGCAGACTGAAGGGTCCCAGGTTTGATTCCAGTCAAGGGCACATGCCCAGGTTGTGGGCTCAATCCCCAGTAGCGGGTGTGCAGGAGGCAGCTGATCAATGATTCTCTCTCATCTTTGGTGTTTCTCTCTCCCCTTCTCCCTTCCTCTCTGAAAACAATAAAAAAAATATTGAAAATAAATAAAAAATAAAAAGAACAGTTTATTGATTTTTATAGAAAGGAGAAGAGCAACATCAGTGAGAGTTTTAACATTGATTGGCTGCCTCCTGCATGTACCCCATCAGGGATCAAGCCCAGAACCCAGGCATGTGCCCTGACTGGGAATCGAACCAGCAACCTCTCCATGCACTGGATGATGCCCAACCAACCGAGCCACACTGGCCAGGGTGACAACTTACCTTTTAAGGGTTAAATGTCTAATTTTTTTTTTTTTGGTATCCCAGAGCTTAATATTTTTCTACTGCTGAAAACTTAATCCTGGTGATGAAATACATGCTTTATTATACTATACTTATTTTATATCACAAAACACATATTAAGAATTTAAAAAATCTGAGTTGGTCTTAATTTTAAATAAGGAGTGTAGACATTAGAAAATAATTCAAATATTTAAAAAAGTTCTACCAAAGTATGTATAAAAGGAATAATTACAAAAATATTCCATTAAAAATACTTTTAAAAAGTAGAAAATTGTATTTGATGAACAAGAATAGATCCAGAGACAAATGGCGGGGGGGAGAGGGAGGTTAGGGGCAACCAAAGGACTTGTATGCATGCATATTAACATAACCATTGGACAGACACTGGGGCGGTGGGGGCTTGCCCGGGGTGGGAATGGTTGGGGGGGGGGGGTCAATTGGGGAAAAAGGAGACATATGTAAAACTTTAAACAATAAAAAAAAAAGTAGCAAATTATGAGATCTACAGGTTGAATTTACCTATTAGAATACTCAAATATTTTTGCTGTTCTTGTTTTAGTTTGGCCCCTAGGAATGAAAGATTAGCAAAATGGTGCTAAAATGATTTCTAATTTGTGATAAGAGGCTAGAGAAGTGCTTTAGCATTTCTTTGCTTTCTATGTATCCTCAAAAATACGTGGTCTAAGGATTCTTCCCCTGGAAAATATGCATAAAAGCAAGGACTTAACACAAATTTAGAAAGTTTAAGGATTCCTTGAAGCCTGACCATGGGGTATGGATTAAGAACACAGTTGGATTAGAGAAAATAGATTGAGTATAATTTTTCAGAGTGTTGTTTTCTTTTCTTTCCTGTACCTTTAAAGTGAAAATGTTCATACATATTCAAAAGTATAGAGAATAGAACAATGAACCTCTATGTCAATAATTATTAACATATGGCTAATCTTGTTCCATCTATATTCCCCACCAATTTTCCTCCCCACTCCAATTATTTTAAAGCAAATCCAAGATATTTTATCATTTCAACTATACTTCTATACTTTATTTCTGAAAAGTAACACTTTAAATTAAAAATAGTTCCTTTATATCAAATATAAAATTAGAATTCAAATTTCCCCAAATGCCTCAAAAGTTGTTTACAAGTCAGAATCCAAACAAAGTCAACACAATAATTTGGTTGACATGTCTTTTAGGTCTTCTTTAATCTTTTGATTCTCTCCCTTTTTTCCTTTCTCATCCATTTATTGAAGAAATTGGGGCCTCAATTCTGTAGCATTTCCCACTTTCTGAATTTTGGTAATTGTATTCCCATGGTGTTCTTCTATCCTTTGTATTTCTTATAAACTGTAGTTGGAACTAGAGATTTGATGGAATTCAGGTGTAATGTTCTTAGTGGGAACATGGCAGAGGCAATGTTGTGTACTCCATTACTGCCTATTATCAGAAGACACATGTCTAGTTACCTCTCCATTTGTGAAATATCATTAGATTTAGTGATATCAGTCTCATCTACCCATTATAAGGTTTCCCATCTGCCTTTCACCTAATGATTTTAGCAGTGGTTTTACTGCCTACTCTAGATCCAGCATTTTATTACTGGTTAAAAAATGGTGATTTAGTAAAACGATCCTTTTTAAAAAAAATTAATTTGTTGTTAATCCTCACCCAAGGATATTTTTCCACTGATTTTTAGGGAGTGGAAGGGAGAGGGAGAGATAGATAGAAACATCAATGTGAGAGAGACACATCTATTGGTTGCCTCCCACACGCACCCCAACCAAGGCCGGGGATTGAACCTGCAACCACGTTATGTGCCCTTGACCAGAATTGAACCGGGATCCTTCAGTATGAGGGCCAATCCTCTATCCACTGAGCAAGACCAACTAGGGCTTCTTACACATTCTTAAAAACTGCCTCTATCATCACATGATTTTGCCAAGAAACGTGGGAACAATAAAATACCAGTTTAAGGTTTTAATAAGCAGGTGTTAAGTAATTCCTCTGAATACCTAAGTATCTTTTAGATATAATCTGAGCTCATACTGTATTTGAACTAGAACAAAATTAGCCCTTTCATCACCTCAACAGTACCTGTTCACTGACTTTAAATTTATTTTGCTATCTTTTTCTCATTGAGCTATTCTTCAAAATAAAACCCAATTTAGCTTCCTTAACTATTTTTGTTAGATGACTTATCATTAATCTTTTAATATTTTACCTTAAGTTACAGCAAAAGTTATTGTAACAGTAGCTTGAAGAACATAAATATTGGTATACCACCTGTGGTATCTTTATATATTAATTAAGGCATCATTTTGCATCTAGTTATATTAATCTAATCTGCTAAGCTATGGTAGCAACATTCCTCCATGAAAATGCTTCAGAATGCTGGAAGCTGGTTAGACTTCCTAAATTTCCTTTGCTACTTAAATGATCCTCCTATTTTAATACTTATTTTCCTTACACTTAAAAGTTCATAAAATCCTTTAACACTGGTCTTCACTGAAAAGTCTGAGGTTCTCTGTAAAATGCCTAATCTACTGTAAGAGTTAAGATAAGTCTTAATGATTGTGTTAAAAAAATCAAAATTCTGTGTTTATCGAGTTAATGCACATAAACTATGTGTTTCACACACCAACATTGTATCGTTGACTTTTTATTTACCTGGGTAAGAGCACTGACTCGGTTCTCACTAGGAAACAGAGGGGGGTCTTCTCCAACTTGAAAATCAAAATATACGGTTTTATGTGTGAACGTAGAAAATTCATTGCTGAAGCAAAATTTGTATGTCCCATTTTTGGAGGCTGTGAAAGTAAAACTGTCATACTGTTTCTTCATCTCCTTGTATAACACATTACCATCAGGATCTTCTAATCGACAATCTACATCATAGTGACCACCAGTAATCACCTATAAAGAGAGAAAAAAATAAGAGATCATTGCAATTAACAAGTTTTAGAAATAACCAGATTTCCTGTTAAAATGGCAATAAGGTTATAGGCTAAGGACCTTTATTATCACAGACAATTTTACATTTTTTTTATTTCTACCAGTGGATGTAACTTGGGGAGGCAGATTTCAGTTTAACTAAAGGTTTATAAAAACTGAACAAATTTCCTCATGATAGGAGAGAAGGAACTAGCTAACTAGCCAGACAACTATTCTGGTTAATGTAGATCTCTTATATCACTTAATTCTCCCAAACAACCCTACCAGAGGTTTTTTTCACCCTTCCATCTGACAAACTGAGAAACTGAGTTAAGATGAAACTTGACCTCCAAAGTCGTACTCTTTACCCTTAAGCTTAGTGTCATGTAATATTATTCTTCTGTAAATTTTCTCATCTAGTTTCCTATTAGTATCATCCAAGCACACCCATAGATAGAGGAGTGAAATAGTAAGGTAGGTCAGTCCTTAGCATAATACCCCATCACAGAACTCAAACTAATTTTATTGCCAAATTACAAATAGGTTGTGTTTAAATTATTTTACAAGTCAGTTACATAGAATTTGACACATATTTTGTTTTAAACTACATTGCGAATTCAATAGACTTACCGGCTGTTCTAAGAGTATTATCATTTATAAACTTGCTTCCAAGAGAAACAGAAATGATTAATGACTAAAGCAAAAACAGAACAACATAAAAACAAAAAGATCTTTTATCTGGAAAGTTTTTATTTAAGGGCAAGTACATTTAAAGGAAAGCTGGGAATAGATAACATGTTTCTGAAGAGGATTTTGGAGCTATTTTCAAAGGCTTATGCTTAATCGGTCACCATTTGGGCAACTTGTGTTTTCCAAGTGAAGAGAGGAGGGGGAGATTTTTCCTGAAGTAACTGGACAATCACCAGAGGAAAGGGGAAAAGGATTAAAGAGGAGAAAGGCCTCCTTATATGAGAAAGAACTGAGTGGGAAGAGGGAGGAGACAGGAGAAGAAATTAGGGTGCACATAAACACTTGGGTAAGAATTCATGAGGAAGAGACAATGGGTTTGAGGGTTCCCAAACAACATGAGACTGTGTGACACAAGCCTGTATTTTCAAGCTTGAACACTTTGGTTAGCATATTATTGACATTCTAGATCTGTAGAACAGAGATCAAACTTTGGACTTCAGAGAAGAATGGGTTACTTATATGACCTCTTGTAACTGTACTATGCTACAAGATCATTTTGATATATAAATGAAATTATGCACTTAGGAAACTAAAAATATGTAAAACTAATATTAGAGACATAATGTTTTGACATAAAAACAGTGTCTTATCATTTTACCCCTCCGCCCAAAAGTCAACAACTTTTCTTCCAGATTGGGAGGGGGGAAGAAATATGATATCATTTTATACACCCAATTATTCATATTGACTGTTGTGCTTTAAATAATCAAATAAGTACATACATACAAACTGAATAGGGCCAGAACTTATAATCTTGCCACTTTTTTTCCAACAAATTTTCAAACAAGTATTCTCATTTCAGATAATAGTAACCACTTTACAACCTGTCTAGTCACATAAGATAGAAACTGGAAATCATCTCAAATTAAGTGGCCGTAGCAGTCCAGTTAAATCAAAGGAATCTCTTGATGTTTTTGCCTTTCTCAAATTCATCCCATTTTTTCCATTCCTAATCCACAACCCAGACAGGACTATTGCCACAATTTACTAAAGTTCTTCCCACAACCCAATCGCTCATCCCTCTAATCAAGTGTTTCTCAACTTGGATTAGCTAATTCTGGGCTAGATAATTCTTTGTTGTGGGGACTGTGTTGCCTGTGCAGATGCCAATAGTCTCCCCTTCCTCACATGTCTCCTGGAGGTGGGGCAACCTCCCTATTCTTCTCCATCCCCCGTTTGCTTAAAACCTTTTGTTACATTTCCTTTCAGAAATCCCCTTTTGATTTCCTCTACAGAAAAATCCAAACCTGTTAACAATGGCATACCTTTCCTCTGTACCTGCTCCAGGTAGCCTCAGCTCTTCTTTTATACCCTTTCTCATTCTGTGTTCCAAAAATAGCAGATTGCCAGAAGTTCTCTGAAGAAGTCCTTGCTTTAAATCTTTTCTAACAGTTAACAGAGTTTTTTTGCTGAAGAACCACAGGACCCAAAATGACAATACTTACAAATCCGGTTTTTTACAGGAAAAGAAAACATCACAGCTAAAAGGTGTCTCACAGAAACCGGTCAAGGAGAGGTCAGGTTTTGGCTTCTTTGTCCTCCCTCTGTGAGGGGTGTGGCTAGACATATACTAGTACTCTCTCTCTCAGATCAGGTACCACCAAGCGCGCAAGGAACACCTTGGAACTAACCTAAAAGAGTGTTGGCTGGGTATTTTATATTTTGCTGGTCACACAGGCATATTCCTGATAGGTAACCAGTCTTAATACCAAGACTCTGGGCGGTCTCAAAGAGACCAGGTGCAAATCATCAATCTCACTATTATCAATAAAAAAAATGCCAACAAACTAGTACAAATTACCCCCAAAGCCCTTGGGTCCACAGTTACAAAGCAACACTATCACTCCGTGTACTTCAGTGCCAGCTAAGGCTAATTTCAGGCCTGCTGGATTTAAGTCTTACAAACATAACACATCTGCCTAGGACAGCCTTTTTCGTCCTGTGGCCTTGTAACTCCTATTTATCCTTCTAGACTCAGACCAAACATCAGCCCCTCAGCTGAATTTCCCCATGATCCTTCCTCCTTCAGGCAGCACCAAAATTTTGCCACCCCAAAATGTGCCTTTTGGAATCTTGATTTTTAAGCTGGTTAAGAAACCAAAGACTCTCAAAGACGGTTACTTCCACTTTTCCCACCCAGGGTTTGGCCCCTGCTGACCCCCATCTCCACCCCCTTTCCCAAAGAGCTTCAGATTAAAAAACCTGCTTCAGGAAGGGAACCTCAGCATATTCACTTTATCACATAAGACAGGAAAAAATTTAGCAAAGCCAGTTTGTCCCTAGCCTCCGCCCACTGTTCCTGGTTTGCCTAGCAGGCATTTGTTTGCCACATGTTCTGCTCTTTCTGGGTTACCTGTGAATTGCCTATTTCTCCTCTGAAATCCCAGACCCTGACCACACCTTCTGCTTTGTCCAACACGGAGATAAGCCTCAACTGCCCAATGGGTTTCGAGGCTCATAAATGGTACCCCTGCATATACATCCGTAATAAACTTTGTACATTTTCTCCTGTTAATTTGTTTCTGTTAATTTGATTATAAGTCCAGCTGGAAAAACTTTGAAGGTGGGGGTAAGTTATTTTTTTTTATGGCCCCACGATACCTACTGTGTACTTTCACTGTTGCATTTAATATTAAATGACTGTACATGTCTACATAAGCTCCTGAGGTCAAAGTAAGTCTTGAGTTTAACCTCGAACTGCATACTGATTCTGCTACTTGCTATGTTTTATGTCCTTGTGTTTTAACCTATGGAAGCCTCAGTTTCTTCATCAATAAAAAAGGAATAAGAAATATACCTATTTCATATCGAGCTGCCCTGAGAATTAATATACCTGAAATGCTTGGCATACTGTCTGCCACATAACAGGTGCTGTTTGTAGTACTATATGGTTTGGCCCCTGCTGACCCCCCTCCTCTCTGCCCCCCTTTCTGGCTTCTTATTCTCAAATATATAGGACCTCTCTATGGTTTTCAAATGATCAGGTACACAGCGTCCTTGCAAAGCCTTTTCCCTCTTCCCCCTTAATGAAGTATGTGCAACTCATTCTTTACAATTCAGCTTAAAATCACTTCCCAAAGGAGGCCTTCACTGATCCCAAAGACCAGGTTGTCTATCCCCTATTTTCTGCTCTTACAGCAGTTTTGATGAATGAGCAGGTACTAATTAAGAAAAGAAGGGTAGGATAAGCGGGGAATCAAGAATGAAACAACACCCTTCGGTGTTTTGATCACAGCACACAGCACCGAACAGCTATTCAAACACGTGAAATTAAGTCTACCGAAGAGAACAGAAACAAGAGTAAAGATGGTCCTAACCAACTTAAACTACATCCTGCCAAATAAAGCTTCTTTTTTTTTAAAACTATACTCCCAAAGACAGAAGGGGCCTTTCATTTATGGCAGCAATTGTTTTTACACCACCTTGATGGTCATCTGGCCTAGAAGGATGCTCTTCCAAAGAGAGGGCGGCGTTAACCAACGGGTCTACTATCAATGAAAAAACTTAAAAGCAATGGAGCTAGGTATTGGCAGCATCTCAAATCTGATTAAAGCAGAGGTGGGGATTAGAGAGTGGGGACAGACATTGGGCACTATAGAACAGGAATAATTTTTTTTAAACAAGTAAAGTCTTTTTAAAAAAGAAAGTCCAATGGCCTTCAAATGAAGGACATTAGAGAATGGGGGGGAAACCACAGCTACGGAAAGCATTTGTGAAACTCCTATATCTTAATATCTGGTCTTAAATGTCTCTCGTCCACGGTTTAGAAGCGGGAAACCAGAAGCTCTCTCAGCTACCTAGAGCGGATTCCTGATCGGCCACGGAGTAAAGAAACAAGGTCAGGAGGGGGCACCTGCAGATTCCTCCCGACCCTGGACCCGAGGGCGGGGCCCCGGGCCGAGCCCGGAGTACCTGGAACTCGAGGGTGCACTTGGTGCCTTGCGTGATGTCCTCGTAGAAACACTGCTTGGCATTGTCGGGCAGCTCGAAGGTGATCTCGGAGGCGCCGCCGGGTCCCGGAACGAGCAGCAGCAGCAGCAGCAGCACGAGCAGCCGGCAGCCCCAACGGCCCGCGGCGGCAAAACCCAGCCGCGGCATCCCGAGGCGGTGGCGGCGGCCTCAACGCAGCAGAGGAGACGCGGAGTCGGGTCTGCGCGGACTCACCCGCCGCAGGCCTCAGCCTCGGTGAGATTGGGGACGAGGAGCCAGCCGCTGGGGGCAAATGGGGGTGCGGAGAGACCCGGACCTGGCGCCGAAAGCCACCTGGGGAGCAGGCATTAAAACCCGCACAGAACCGGCGGAAAGGCCTGAGGTGGCCGGAAGTGGGGAGCCATCGCTTGGGAAGGGGCGGGGCCTGAGGCACCTTCCCCAGCGACCCGGATGTACTCTCTTCGGACTGAGGGGAGAGACGTGGGAGTGTATACGTGGAAGCTCGCGAGGCCTCCGCAGCAGCCTGGGACGAGGGGCGGGGCTCACGTAGGGAGCGGATTGGGCGGGGCCAGCGTAGGGAGTGGGTGGGGCGGGGCCAGCGTAGGGGGCGGGGCCAGCGTATGGAGCGGGTGGGCGAAGTTAGAAGAAGGGGTTAGAAGAAGGGGTGTGGCCGGCCGGCGCCTGTCAGCGCGTTCGGACTTAGGAGCGAGCTACGGGCAGGGAGAGTACTAGTAAGTTGCACGGGAGCTGAGCGCTCCCGCGGAGTGGTGAAGAGCTCATTTTCACCGTAGGGGGCTACCCACCGGTGGTAGAGTGCTTAGCTATTTGCAGAGAGTTTTCTCTTAAATAACAAATATGGGGAAAGCAGATTAGCAAGGAGCGTGAATTCTGGGACCGTCTATTGAGTGTTCATTATCATCAGGCACTGTGCTAAGCACATTACATTTGTTGTGTTTTTGGATCCTTCAAATAACCCTAGAAAGTAGGTATTATGCCTGTTTTACTGAGGAGGAAGTTTGTCTTGGAGTACTTAAAAATAATAGAGGGTAAAATTAATAGTAGCTAGCAGGTGTTGATTTCATAAATTATACATTTTCTCGTGTTTATAAACATGAATTAGGTATTATACCTTTTTAAAATAAATGACCATGGGGAGGCTCATGCGCTTTAAGATGATCAGCAGAGAAGGAAACAGGCAGGTGGGTGGGAGCCAGGCCCGGAAGTGACGGGGGCAGTGAGGAGGTGGGGTAGAGAGATGGGGTGGAGGGGGTGTTCCTGGGCAGCGAGTCACAGAACTTCTATGGCAGGATGAAGGAGCTCCAAGGAGCTGAAATTTGGGGGAGATCGCACCTTCCTGAGAACTGGGCTAAAAAGAAGCATTATTTCTTCTGTGAGTGGGAAGAAGACAATTTCAAAGTGGAAATTGTGGGTTCTACTTTCCAACTCTTGACTTCAGGCAAGTAACATTGCTCTTCTAAACCTCAATTTCTTTATACATAAAATGGCAATATAAACAAAGAATGAAAGTGAACTAGATTAAAATCACAATGCAATACATTACACACCCACCACCAGATAGGCAAAAATTTTATAGTGCAACACTACCAGATATTGGCAAGCATGTAAAGCAACAAGACCCCTCATTCACTGCTTGTGGAAGTGGAAACTGGTACAACCGCGTTGGAATACAATGTGGCATTATCTAATTATTAAAACATAATTTTAAAATTTGAAATTAAAAAACTTTATTTAATTTTAAAAATTCTGGGATCAAAAATTTGAGAATAGCTACTTCAGAGAAACTTATGCACAGGTATATCATGATACATATACAGGAATATTTAAAGCCTAATAAGAGTCCCAACCTGGCAATACCCCAAATATCCATAAATTTGAGTATATTAATAAAATGTGACATTACATAGCAATGAAAATGAACATATAGCAGCATAGGAAAATTATATAAACATAATGCAACAGAAGCTAGGCAAAAGAGAAATAATAGGCAAAAACTTCAAAGTGCAACACTACCAGATTGGGCGAGCATGTAAAGCAACAAGACCCCTCAACTAAATGATACTACTTTCCCTAATACCGTGATCCAAAGAAGCAAGGGAATGACTATCTCAAAAGTCAGGGTAGTAGGGAAGAATAGGGTAATAGGTGAGAAGCAACACAGGGTGGCCTGTGAGGTGAGGGCTCTTCGGTGCCTGCAATGCTTTTTTTTTTGCTTTTTTTGCCTAGAGGTAGTTACATTTATTCCAACTATAATTACTTGTTAAACTCACATGTGTTTTATGTATTTTTCTATATGTTTGTTATATTTCACAATAAGAGAAGAGAAAAAATGGGATGGGGGGGGGAAAGGGGTCCTAATATATGGTGACAGGAGAAGATTTGACTTTGGGTGGTGGGCACATGGTGCAATATATAGATCTTGTAACATAGAAACCCACACCTGAAACCCATATGTTCATGTTGACCAATGTCACCCCAATAAACTTTAAAAAATAATAAAAATAAAATGGCAATTGAAAAAGTAATATGTAGATGTTAAGGTTGAAGAATAGCATATTAAAAGCTAAAAAAACCCTTATGTATTTTATGATTAACTATAAGTGAATTTCTTTGAACTGTCCTGAAAAAAAAAACAAAAGGAAAAATTACAATGTTGGATGCATCAGTTAGCTATTATTTTGGGGGGGAAAAAAACCTCAAAACTTATGGCTTGCACAATATATATTACTGCCTGGAAGACTATAGGTCAGCTGGTGCATCTGCTCTCAGATGGGCTCACTCATCATCTGTGGTCAGACGGAGGTTGGGTGGACAGCTTTGCTGATCTTGGCTGGGTGTACTCATATTTTGGTGGAACAGCTGGTTATAGGCTGGTCTAGAATGGCCTTGGCTAGGACAACTGGACTCTCCTCCATATGGTTCATGTTGTAGCCTCTCATCCTCCAATAGGCTAGCCCAGGATTGTGCACTCGGTGGTTATAGGATTCCATAAGAATGTGCAAGGCTTCTTGAGGCCTAGGCTCAGAACTTGGCCCTGTCACTTCTGCCTCATTCTGTAACCCAAAACAAATCAAATTATAAGGCCAACCTAGTTTCAAGGGACAGGGAAGACCTGCAAAGTCAGGGCTCCATTAGGGAAGCAGAAGAATGAATATATATATATATATATATATATATATATGTAGTAAGGAGTAGACTATAGGAATTTGACATTTCTAGTTGGGGTAGCTGGTTAAACAGTTTTTGGGAGGCTGTTACTTCTTCATCTGGTGCCGGAGCCTGAAGTCTGCAGGTAAAGCAGTCAGAAAGGAAAGATGGATGTGAAGTGGAAGGAGGAAGAGAAACTGGACCTTCAAGGATTGGCCACAATGCACATCACTTTCTTACCACGTCCAAGCCTCCAACTTCCATGATGGATGGTCTACAGGAAGAGCTGGTGTTCTTCATTGAGTTAAACATGCACCTGGCCCAGAGCCATTCCTTTCTTTGGGTGCAGAAAGGAATATTGCTGCTGCTTCATCACTTCTGTCTTTCAAAATGTCTCTTGTGGACCACTAACCCCCAACTATGCAGGGAATGGAATTTGAGGAAAGAATAGTTCCAGCTGAGCTAAGTTAATACAATACAAATGCACCACAGACACTGCAGAAGCTGGGGGTGGGGGATGGGATTAGGGAAGAATTTTGTTAATTTTTGCAATCAATCTATCCCACTGGATAAAGACAGAAAATGAATAAAATTAGATTCTTGCCCTTGGACAGTTCATAGTCTAGAAAATAGAAATTTAACTTTGTTCCAAATTTTTAGTTTATCTTTTCCTCATTTCCCAGGATTATTATGAGAACCAGAGAGTATATATTGTGAAAAATCTTCATAAAATACACGACATGATATGATCTTTATGTCAGATACACATTCTTGTAGGGACTACAAAATAGTACAAGAAAAAAACAAACAAACCATGATTTGTTCAGGTTACAATAGAAATTTTGACCTAAATATAGGCTTTTTGCCTAGGCCATCTCATACCCCTTCCTAATGTAGGTAGTGTCATGTAGGCTTGGGCAAATTACCTAACTTTCTGATACCCAGTTTCTTCATCCATAAAAAAGAGGTAATAATGCCTATTTTATAGGTGGTTGAGAAAATTGAATGAGATGAGATAATATCCATACAGCATACAGCTCACAGCATAGTGCATTAAATGAAGTAGAGACTCTATATATAATTCTCCTTCAAAAAGCTACAATGAAAAAACTTTATCTTATTACTCCTATACCAGTATATGGGTCTATGCTTATTTCTGTATGTTAGACTATTAAATCAGGTTAAGTGATCAGGTTGGAAGGTAAATATAGGGCAGTGGTTCTCAACCTGTGGGTCGCGACCCCTTTGGAGGTCGAACGACCCTTTCACAGGGGTTGCCTAAGACCATCCTGCATATCAGATATTTACATTACAATTCATAACAGTAGCAACATTATAGTTATGAAGTAGCGACGAAAATAATTTTATGGTTGGGTCACAACATGAGGAACTGTATTTAAAGGGCCAGAAGGTTGAGAACCACTGATATAGGGTGTCCCCCAAAATGTAAATACACACTTTGAATAATTATATATAACAACTAGAGGCCCGGTGCATGAAAATTCATGCACTGGACAGGAGTCCCTCAGCCTGGCCTGCCCCCTCTCACAGTCCAGGAGTTCTCAGGGGCGGGAGGCGACCCGGTGATCAGGGGAAGGCGACACCCCATCACACCTCTGCTGCTGCCACTGCCAGCAGCGCAAGCCTCAGCCAGCCCTGGTTACCTGAGCCTCAGGTGGCCCCGGGCTGCTGGGCAGCCACCATCTGAGGCTTGCCTGTGCCTCGGGCCAGCCCTGGGTAGCTGGGGGGCTGAGGGGACTGGAGGACTTTGGAGGCAGGAGGGCCCAGCCTTGCTGCGCGCCTGCCAACCCAGCAGGGTTGAGGGGACTGGGCGCCGCCATGTTGTGGCTGTGGGTGCCACCATCTTTGAGGGTGGGGCAGTGAATTAACATATTCCCTTCTTATTGGCTGTGGGCACCGCCATCTTTGTGATGGTGTGAGGGTCAATTAGCATATTCCCTCTTTATTAGATAAGATAAATGTATTTATTAAAATACATTTCATTTTCAAAATTGAGCTACCAGCTGTTACAGTGTGTATATATATTTTTTGAGACAGCCTGTATAAAATCAAGAGAGGTTTCAAATGACAATGTTTAGGATTGGGGGGGAGACACTTCCATGACCTCCTTGGTGTCAGCATCAGATACAGATCAGAAAAGCTGTAGGATGAAGCATTTGGCCATGCAGAGATGAAGATGACCTTTTATTTATTTATTTTTAAAAAATATATTCTATTGATTTTTTACAGAGAGGAAGGGAGAGGGATAGA